GACCCTTGCCCACTGGCTTGATTTGATTTCTCCTAGCCCCTATATGCTGCAGGGAAGGGGGCACCCAGGCTCCCTGTGTGGGCCTGGGGGTGGTGGCATTGACCAGTAAACTGGTGGCAGAGGAGGAAGGAGGAGGGACTGAGCTGCTTGTCACCCCTGCAATGTGTGGCGCTCAGGCTGCACCCCTGTAGGCAGACCTGTGGGGGCCTTAACACTGTGTCCCAAAGCCCCTTTACAAAGGTGACTCCCGCGGGGCCAGGAAAAGTGGTTTCAAGAAGCTGGGGCACTCCGTGCTTAAGCTGCTTGCTCCGTGTTCTCCCAGCCTGCCTGGTTTTTGATGCCTTCCACCCAACCCCACCCCCGGGAATGGGGAGGCCAGAGTGAGCCTGGAGTCCCCAGTCCCTGCACAGTGGTGGTGGTGGCGGCGTCCACGCACTAGAGACCCCACAATGAACAGGATTCCTGGGCTGGGCAGGCCTGGAGACAGATTGGATAAGGAGCCATAATTGGGCACCTGCTGTCTGCAGAACCCTAGCCTCAGGGCTCTTGCGAGTTAGCTTCTGCCCCTCCCCACTGCTGGGAGGTGTGGTCTTCTTAGCTGAGAACAATCTATTGTCACCCAGAGGGTTGTGACCCATTGCGGCTATGGGTTGAAGGGTAGGGCTGCTCCAATGGGTGGCCAGCAGCTGACCGAAGGCCTTCTTTACGCAGCACCGCGGGGTACGTCTAAGCCCCTGGCCTTTCACCCATTTAGCGAGCAGGGAGCAGAGGCCATGTGTGCCGGCCAGGAGCCTCCACCTTGGCGAAGGGAGCTGCACATGGCCCCATTTTATGGATGAGCAAATTCAGGCAGGGGTGGCCTGCCCATTATCATCTGCACTCCTTTTGGCTCAGACGGGGGCGACAGGGGCATCTGCAGGGTGAGAGGGAAGAGGGGATCCAGAGGTTCACCAAGCCCCCCACCCCCACCCCCACCTCTGTCAGCCCGGCAGCTCCTGGCCCCGGCCAGCGCGCTCCTGCGTGGGGCGGGAAAGGACTTTGGAAGCTGCGGGGATGTTGACGGAGTTGCCGTGGATACGGAGTGTGTGAGCTCAGAGATTGGGCGGGGGCGGGAGGAGAGGCTGCTGTCTGCTCTGAAACCACCTTCATCTCTGGACCCCCACCCCCAGAATCCCCCAGCATGTGGCACATGGGCCTGCCCTACACCTTCTGGGTGCCCCTCATCCAGAGACAGGGATCAGACATGGAGGGGAGGGACCTTGAGTGCCCGAGCACACGCCCCGTCCCTGCCAATGCTTCAGACCAGGGACTGGAGCCTTCTCTGGGGGAGGGGCTGCCCTGTGCACTGAGGTATTGCCCTCCCCCCCCCCACTGGCCAACCCAGCAGCACCCCCCATGTCTTCAGAGCAGAATGTCTGGCCCAGCCCCCTGGCGCAATTTGAGCCCCCATTTAGCTCAGCACCATCTCTGCGTCGCAGGCTTCCCAGGACAGACTGGAGTTACCTGGAGGAAGGAAGCCCCAAGTGGTCCTGAGGTCTCAGGGGCAGGGCAGGGCAGGGCATGTACTAGGGAGGCTCTGGTTGGAAGGGCTTGCCTGAGGTTTGAGGACTGGGTGGGAAGGGGCCGAGCAGGTGAAGGTGAAGGGTTCTCCTTAATCCCAAGGGCAGGTGGGGGTGGGGGGCTTGCTTGGCTCTGCAGGGGAAAATCCGTTTATAGAGAAGGGATTATTGAAGAGGGTGGGTCTGCCCCCATCTGGGAGGAAGGAGGGTGGGTTGGCCAGCAAATTGGGTCAAAGGGAGAAGTCTTCAGACCGGGAAGAGTGGGGACAAGAAGTGAACCCCAAGAAGAGGAGCATATGGGAGAAGTGGCCCAGAGCAGGAGACAGCTCCCCCAGCTGCAGGGCAGGCCTCTGACACCCAGAATGGGGAAAGACACTGGCTTATCTGGGGGCCCAGTGGCAGGCCTGAGAGCTATGGAAAGGGGTAGGGGTAGGGGTGTCAGCCTCTAGCTAGTATCCATAGATTACTGCCCACCTCCTGCCCCCCCCACACGCACCATGGGTGGGGTGTTGGTCTCTCCTAGTTGCACGGTGATAACCACTTCTGCCCTGTCCCATCCATTCCTGCCCCTCCCCCTATGCTCTCTGATAAAGGTGGCCAGGAGCTGGTATGTGATATCAGCCAGGCGTGGGCCACCCTGGCCCAGGGATATCTTCAGAATCGTAGCAGGGGTCCAACACACATATGCTCCAAGGACCTTCTGAGAACTGTGCCACCCCACCTGCCCCCAAGGCTCAGCCCCACCCCAGCAAAGATGCCAGGTGGGGATGTGGGTCTCAGGCTGCCTCCCACCCCCTACTTCAAATGGGCGGGGCTAGAAACCACCCCTGGGTAGGGCCCTTAACTGACAATGCAGCCAAAAGCACAGACCCAGCCCCTCCCCCGCCACCATTGTCTTGGCCTGCTGGCTCTCTCCACATGGGTATTGGGCACCAACTGCATGCCGGTGCTGCTAGCACTAGCCCCCTGAGAGTTGGGGTGTTGGGGCTCAGACTGGGAAGATCTCAGTAGCCTGGATGAGGGATTCCATGGAGGGGCCCTGGGCACGGAGGGGGTTGGAGGGGCAGTTAGGCCATGCTGGGGTCACTCCTGAGCAGAGACAACATTGCGGTGGGGGGGGGGGCACGGGGACTTCAGCTTTGACTCTGAGTGGCAGCAGGGCATAAGGTGCCAAGGGCTCCCCCAGCTGCTGGGGGGAGTTCAGCATCCGGGAGTTGTGCCTCCGCTTCCAGGTGTGTGGTGGTGAGGCTGTGGGAAGGTAGGGGGGGAGAAAAAGCAGGAAGAGACCAGTAGTAGATTGCAAAGGGGAAGCTGGGAGGGGAGGACACAGGAAGGGTGAGAGAACTGGCTTGGACTCCCTGGGTCAGGGTGGGGTAGGGGGCAGATGGGAGATGGGATTGGAGGTGGCAGGGCCAGGCTTTTATAGCCCTGTAGTTGTTGGAGGGGGAAGCTTTGGATTCAGGACCTCAAGGTCAGTTGTTCGAACCCACCAGCCGAACCCACCAGCCGCTCTGCAGGAAAAAGATGAGGCTGTCTGCTTCCATAAAGAAAGAGAGCGAGCTTCAGAAACAGTGCATTGCTTTGAGTCAGCATCAAGTCCGGTTGGCAGTGGATTTGACCCAGGAGCTAGGGCTCAAGTAGAAAATGTTTTGAAAATGATGATGGCAACATATGTACAATGTGCTTGATACAATTGCTATATGGATTGTTATAAGAGCTATGAGAGCCCCCAATACAATGATTTATTTAAAACACACACACACACACACAAAAACAAGCAGGGTGAAGACCCCATCAGACTGGCCTTCACAAGCCCCTTCTCCTCCATGCACACTGAAGCCCTGTTAAGGTGTTACCTGTAGCAGGAAGTGAGTCCCCACCCTGTGGGGGAAAGCCCCTTCCCCCAGCCACTATACAGCCCCTTGAGTAGCTGTGGGTTTTCCTGCAGTGGGGTGGGCGGGGTCACCCCTTCCAGGGCTCTCCTACCCTCTGAGGCCCCCAGAGTATCAAGGTGAAGGTCATCCCCACGCCCCTTGCCCCACCCTCGCATCTGGTCCCTAACCCACCCCCCCCACGCACATCGAGGCGGATTAAGCAGACTCCCTAACCGCTCACTGACACCCCCCCCTGACACCCCTCCGCCCCCCAAAAGTAGAATCTTAGTCTCAAGACCCCTTGGGTTCCAGTTTTCAGGAACTTCCCAGCACAGCTGCCCTCTCAAGCTCACTGGAGCAGTCTGAGTCAGAGGGTCAAGTTCACTGCGGCCCTGCCCACTTGGCTCCTCATCTCCTCCTCCGGGGCCCAGCACCTGGGGCCCCGCCCCCGTGTCCCCAGATGTCACATACACGCCCCTCCCAGCGAGGGTACTGTGGCTGCCAGGGCCTGGCTTTAGGCACGCCTGTGCAGCCTGAGCTCACACCCACGTGCGCACACCTCCCACGTGCCCAGTGCGATCTGTGGGGGGCCGGTGGGAGTGGGGCTGACAGCGAGAAGACCGCCTCCTCAGAGGCGACCCTAGTCCTGGCCCCTGGCCTGGGGCGGGGAGCGGCCACGTGAGACAGGCAGGCAGGCGGCCCCTGTCAACCTGCCTGCTGCAAAGTGGTGGGGGCGGAGGCGGGGAGCTGAGCCTGGCGCCCCGAAAGGGGAAGTGAGGGAGCTTCAGGGCAAACCGAGGTGGAGGCGGTACCCTGCTTTCTGCCTCCACCCTGCAAGATGGCGACAGGGCTGCCTGCGCCCTGGGGGACCGAGTCCGCTTCTGAAGCCAGCAGCCCCAGACCGAGCCACTCCCCTCCCTCCCTGGAGCTGCCAGCTCAGTGGGTGGGGCGCCCTTTGGAGGGGGCTGAGGAGGGCCACCCCAAGGATTTCAGGCCAACAGTGGTCTTGGGAACACTTGTGCTATCCCATAGCGCCGGCCCCCTGCTCACTGCCTGGTTCACACCCCCCCAGGGACTATCCACCCACCACCGCGCGCGTGTGTGTGTATGTGTGTGTGTGTGTGTGTGTCCAGCAGCCATTTCGTGGGGAACCGCCGGCGGTGGGGGGTGGGGGGGGTGCTGGTCCCTGACTGGTCTTCTGTGGTGCTGGCATGTCGCCCCCAGCCCCCACTTCCTTCCTCTGCTCTCCCTTCCCCCTTCTCCCACGGCAGCCCGTGAGAGCGGAGATGTCACCGCGTGGCCCGGAGAATCTAGGAGCACGCCTCCTGCGGCTGTGGGTCTGTCTTGTTTCCCTGCAGCCCTCCTGGAAGGGCCCTGCCCTGACCCTCCAGGGGGCGGCCCCCATTACCTGTAGCCCCCCCTGGTTGGCGTAGTCCTGGTCACTGAGACCCCACTGGGGCTCCCCCCACGTCAGGCCCTGCCACCCCTCGGGGCCACGCAGTGAGTTTCCTTTGACTTCTCAGTGTCCTGAGGGTCGCAAATGCGGACATAGGTGGATGTCCACATTATGCCTACTCCGCCCTTCAAAACCCGGGAAGGCTCTGCGGTCGCCGGGCCCGAGCAATGTCCAGGGGGTGCCAGTCCGGGTGCCTATGGCCACTGGTCCCCGGGTGTGGCCAGAGATTGCCAGGGCTCCGTGTTCTTAGGAGTGGGGGCCCTTGGGGGAGGGTCTAAAGGTGGGAGTGACCTGCCCCCTCCTGTCCCTTGGCACCACCTCAGGTCCGCTGGGGAGATGGCAGGCAGCTGGTTAGAAGATGGGTTGGGTTAAACCAGCAGGAGTAGCGTCCCGGCGCTGTGGCCAAGGACAGGACGGGCGGGGCCCGGCACGCGATGGGAGGGGTCTGCGGAGGAAGTTGAGGGTGGAGGCTGCTCCTCCAGCGCCATCTGCTCTGTGGGGGCGGGGCGGTCCCCGCGGTGGCGCCTGGCCACGCCCCTTCCCGGAGGTTTCCCCCCCCCCCCCTCGGTGCCCGGCTGCAGGTGGCCCGGGAAGTCCCGCGGGTGCCCCTCTGCCCGCAGAGGGACCACGGGTCTTCCCCCCTAGCCCTCGACACGGGAACACACGTGAGATTCACGTAGCCTTTGTAACGCCATAGGGTTTCCGTGCCAAAGGTGGTGGTTTGGAAGAGGGGGGTATTGGGATGGAGACTGGGGGGATAGGGGGTGGGCCGGGGTGGAGGTGAATTGGCCGCGAGTGGCCCCGCGTGACCCGTTTATATAACCGTTTGCTCCCAAAACCATTCAAAACCTTTATTCTGAGCGCATGTGCGTGAGGTCTGGGGGACACCTTTCCAGTTTGCCCTCGGGGTCACCTCCTGAGGAGGACTACTCGTCACCCGCCGTAGATTCTCATTTTTCCTTATTATGAGTGTAGATGCCTCACAGACGGTGGCGTTGCACGGGCGCCCACTTCTCCAGCCAGCACTGCCCCATTCACCCTTAGCAGAGCCTGGGTGTCCCTCCCTCCCCTCCCTCATGCACGCTCCTCAGGCCCACTGGTTTCCTGATGGCCACGTGTTTCACCCACCCTTCGCTTAGCAGCGAAGCAGCGTGCTTAAACACTGCACCACAGGGACACCCTTTTTGCCCTCTTAAGTGAAGGTCAATTTTATGCCCAAGTTCAGCTTCCAGCCTGGGAGTCCAGGAAACCTCTGGTGTCTAATCGAAAGCCTCGAGCCCCCCACTCCATCTCCTCTTTTCAAAGAGAAACGTAGGTGCCAGGCAGGCGTCCATCCGACTGACCACTGTCTGTCCTCTGCTCGGCCTAGGTGAGCGCCCCTTCGCCTGCGACTGGCCCAGCTGCGACAAGAAGTTTGCGCGCTCTGACGAGCTGGCCCGCCACCACCGCACCCACACCGGGGAGAAACGTTTCCACTGCCCACTCTGCTCCAAGCGCTTCACCCGCAGTGACCACCTGACCAAGCACGCACGCCGCCACCCTGACTTCCGCCCAGAACTGCTGCGGCGTCCCGGGGCCCGCAGCGCCTCGCCCAGCGACTCACTGCCCTGCAGCCTGGCCAGCAGCCCTGTGGCCAGCCCCTCGGCCAGCCCTGGCCCCGCTGGCCTGTAGGGTGCCCGGCCCCTGAAGTGGAGAGACCGCAGCACCCTCAGGGACAGGGTGGGCGGGAGGAGGCGCAGTCAGGGAGCCCCGCCCTCCCAGGTCCTCTGTGGATACTGAGCCCGCCTTCCAGAAAGGAGGGCGGGGCCTGCGAGGAACCCACTACGAGGCTGGGGGTCCCGGGGAGGGGTCCATTTCTGCGCCTGTAAATAACCTCGATTGTTAACTTTACTTGTATCTGTTCAACAGGGACCCTGGGCGGGAGGTCAGCAGGCCTTGCCTGGGGGTAGGTGGGGGGGTGTCCCCCCTTCCACCACCTCCCTGCTTCCCCTGGGGTAGGGTTTCCAGGAAAGGAGCCCCCTGCCCAGGGCTGGACTCCCCCCCCACCCCCCCACCCCCGCCCCCAGTTTCCTTCCAGTTTGAGATGAGTTGTGTAAAGAGCCATAGATGTACCAGGGGTCCATGTGGATCCCCACCCCCACCCCTCCCCCTCCCCGGGGCCCCCAGCCCCACCGAAAGCCATTGGAGACGTTCAGGGAAACGGGGTGGCCCAGCTGCCCCCTCGGGTACTCAATCTCAGGTGTCCCAGGTTCTGCCCCCCTGCCCCCCCCCTGGGGACACCCTGCGGATCCAGACGGGGTGTGGGCAGGTGTTGGGATTCCCATAGAGGCCCTGGCGGGGGGTTGGGGTCGGGACGGGGAGACCCCGAGGCTGCTTCCAAAGAGCATGGTGACTCAGTTTTGGGGTGGAGCGCGGAGGGGGGTCCACACCGGGAGCCAAGGCGGCTTTATTTATTTCCCTCTTTCGGTGGAGGCCCCCCACCGCCCCATCCGGGTGTCTGTGTGTGTGAGAGTTATTGGGGGAGGCTGGTGCTACAGGCTGGCCTCCCCGTTCTCACGGGGTAGGGTCCCCGACTTTGGCCTTCTGCAGTGTCTCGTGACAATCAATCCCAAACGTTCAGGGCCCTGACAGCCATTGGGTATGATGTACCCCAGCCTGCCTGCAAGTGGGGGGTGAGGGTGCGTGTAGAGCCCAGCCAGGGCCATGGGTTCTGTCTGCCCTCATCCTCCTCCCTTCCCCCACAACTTATCCCGTCTTCCTTCTGGCTGCCTGGGAGGGAAGGTCGTTTGACCACATGGTTAGTATTCTGGAACCTTCCACGTGTGGACTTGGAGCGGGAATGGCCGGCTCCTTGGGAAGAAGCTCGCTTTTTGGACCGTGTAGAATATTTTTTCAGGCGCCAATCCCTTTCTTGTTCTGGGACCCCCCTCTTCATGGGTGGTCTGTCCTCAGGGGTGTGAGTGTTAGGGGCGGGGGTGTCTGAGTTTGGGGGGAGGAGGCAGTTGCGGGGGTGGGTGGTAAATGGCCAGGACCTTTCCCTTACTCATCCAGTGCGATTTCTTTTGGGACGGAGGCTGAGGACCCGCGCCCCCTGCCCCGCCCGGAGTGGAACCCCCATCGGAGACCAAAAGGGCCTGTGCCCGTTTGACAGGATCCCCCATTTATTGCAGACCTTTCTTTTCCGATTGGGGGCTGGGGAGTGTGGGTGTGTCGGCCTGTGGGATTCTTCTGTCCACTGGTCTGGGGAAGGGGGAGGCACAGGAGGAGCCTTGGGAAGCTGGGCTTCTTAAAGGCTGGCCCAAACCCTCCCCTGGGGGGCTTCCATTGGGCCCCCCCAAAAAAAACCCTTCTCTCAGCGACAGTGGCGATGCCTTAGTCCCAGGGAGTGGGTGGGGGGGCTGGGACCCCGTATTCCTTTGTGGGTTTTAGATGTGTCTGGCTGATGGTAAGACAGGGGACCCCAACTCTTCTCAGATCCTCCCCTGCCTAGGGCCTGAGGGACACACACCCCCAGAAGCTTCTGGGCATGGGGAGGGCAGTTATTTAGCAGTGGGGGCTGGCAAGAGGAAGGGCCCCCTAGGGACTTGGCTTTCCGTGGGTGGGCGACCCTCCCCTTGTCTCCTGCCTGGTCTCTTCCTTGTATTTAATTAATTAAACAACCCCTTTTTAAAAACTCACCTTCCTGCGTCTGTGTGTTTGGTCTTCACCCCCACCCCCAGCCCCCGGGCCCCAGCCAGTATGGTGGGCTCCACAGCCAGCAATCTTAAGGGGAAAACTGAGGTCTGGACTTAGGGAGCCCCAGGGCTCGGCTTCAAGGGTCTTGTCCATGCAGCTCCCTCGCAATCTACCCCACCACCACCACCACCGCAGCTGCACAATGGGCAGACTGAGAGACTCCCCCAGCCCTGGGGCAGGGGCTGCTGGCATCAGCGCAGGCTGCCGCCCAGTGCCGCCCACGATTCGTGCAGCTGCGCGCCCCCCACCCTCGCCCCGGGCTCCCGCCCAGTTACCCAGGCAACCGAGGCACAGTGACACAGTGCCGGGGGCGTCTGTCGCCCGCCCCCTTCCGGCGCTGGCCGAGGCTTCGGGGAGCCAGCGCCCCTGGAGGCCACCCGCGGGAGCCCTGGGGCTCCTCCCAGGAAGGACCCTGGGGGCCCCCAGCCGGCTCCCACTGCCTGCCAGCCAGCGGTGTACATCTAGTGTCTAGCCTCTCTTAACGCCCTGGGCAGCTTCCAGTGGAGAGAGTTAAAGGTGGGGGCGGGAGTCCACTGGATGGGGGCATGGAAAAGCTCTTCAGAGCTTTGAACCCCGTGCTAGAATCCGGGGGGCCCTCCCTCCCCCACCTCCGGCCCATGCACCTGCCCTCCCCGCGGGTTTCGCTGAAGCCCCACCCCGTGAAAGCGGCGCCCACACCATCTAGTGGCCGCCCCAGATATTGCAATCTATTGCCGCTCGCCTGGCCCCTCACCACCCACCCTGGGACCACCCCCAGCCTGGGCCAGGGGCTCCACCCTCCGCGCCTCCTCCCTGACTTTTCCCCTTCTCCCCTGCCCACTCCCACCGAGAGTTACCAGGCAAGCGCACCCTGGACCCCCTCCCCTCCAGCTCCTGCCCGTTTCCCGTCTCCTGCAAAACAATGCATGGTCTACACTCGCAACGTCCACCCCCCGCCCCGGCTTTTCCCCGGACTAATTCCCGTCCAGCATTTTAGACCCCAGCTCCCCACCGATCCGCTGGGTAGAGCCAGTCCTCATCTCAGACGTGCCCCACATAGTAACAGCCCCACCCCACCCCCGCCCGGTGCTGGAAGCAAGGCCTTGCAGCCTGTGGGTCCCCCGGTGTGCCTGGTTCTGCCCCACCCCTCCACAGCCCTGGGTGTTCGCCTCAGAGGCCGCCAGAGGCCGCCAGTGAGTCAGCCCGATCCCTCCCCTGCCTTTAACCATGCAGTGCTCCCCGCTCCCCCTCCGTATTCAGAACGCCTCCGCCAGAGGGAGGGGACACCTGCGCTTTGCGCACTGATGATTCTAGCCGCATGTCTGGTATTGGATAGGTTAGGGACTCAGGAAACAGCATTCAAAGAATGGCTGAGCTCAGCGATGGTGGAGCGACCCCTGATCAAGCACGATCTCACTGGGTCCTCAGGAGCCATCCTGAACAAATCAGTGGTGCCAAGATGCCAGGCACCAAGGGAGAGAGCCTGCACTGCAAATGCTCACAAGCTAAGCTATTGTTGTTACGATGTGCCACCCAGTCGGTGCGACCCTCTGCACAACAGAAAGAAACACTGCCCGGTCCTGCGCCGTCCTCGCAATGGTCCCGCTGCCCCAGCCCATTGTTGCAGCCTCTGTATCCACCCGTGTCATCCGTGAACTTCCGCTTTTTCGCTGCCCCTCCACTTTGACAAGCATGAGGTCTTTCTCCGGAAACGAGTCTCCTGATAACGTGTCCACAGTATGTGACACGAAGTCTTGCCATCCATGGCCTCCAAGCAGATTTTGAGAGAGGACCTGAACATAACCATGAGCAGCCCTGGGCCCAAAGTGACCCACTCTTTATGGAGAAACAGGGACGTGCCGCAGCTGTGATATGAGACGGCCCGATTTTCAGACCCAAGCAAGAGCTTCACCTCTATAAAAAGCAACAAAACCAACAGGTAACAGAGGCCTTTTCAAAGTCCCCCTGAAGGGGACAATAACGCGAAAGTCCCTTGTATGGCGGGTGCGCAGGTGGGCAAATGCTGTTGTATACCAATAGCAATATCTTGCCCTGTCCGATGTCTCACTTTTCTGTTGTCCGTCCCCCAGGGAGGAGGTCACATGTAGATACTTGTAATCGGTTCCCCCTTTCCAACCCACTCTCCCTCTACACTCCCAGTATCGCCACTCACACCACTGGTCCTGAA